AACAGTGAGCTGTACGAGTTATACGGCGACATTGACATATTTCAGCGAATCAAGAAACAGTGGTTGCGCTGGACCATGTTGTCCGGATGGATAAGAATGCTCCAGTCTCCACTCCGTTAAAAAGACCAGCTTGAGAAGGACCTGACTGAACAAGACATTTCCAACTGGTGCTAAACAGCAAATAAAGGAAATGCATGGAGCACTATTATAAATTCGGCTATAATCGCACGGTTAGAGAGAGAGAATGAGGTTTTACATTCCTTTGAGTCCCTAACTACTATTTTTGAGGGATGCACTTACAGTTTATAATTTAAGCTTGATTTCGAAAGGCTGTATGATTTTCATGTGAAGCTTTTACTTTTAATCCAATAATAATTTAAGACAATAGCATTCTCCGGCTAGGTGGGTCAGTTTTAGAAAAAATTATGATTTTTCCCGCACTCTAACTGAACTCCCTCTGTAAAGTAGTTCGGTGCACAGTTACCCCATCTTGCAAATACTTAATTGCAAATGTGGATCTCTTGGTAGTTGGTAAGTACGTAGATACACATGCAAGCATTTGCGTAAATAGCTGGGACTCGCGATGTTATTTGGCAACAGCAATTGGCTTGCATCCTACCGAGTTTTGTCTTGATGTTATAAAATTACTGTTCCAGCTATTTTGTGTTATTGGTTTCGAAGGTGAAGGAGAAATCGCTTTGCTTCTTTATTGTTAAGTAAACTCCGATGATGGTGGAGATGAGAAGCGGCAATATTATAATTACTCTTACTCTCCCTTCACTGAATTTCACGAATTTTGTCAGTTAAGGAAAGCCATACATTTGTTTATATAAAAATCTCAAGGGCGTTGCACTAAGTAACTAATAACAATTATAAATAAACGTAAAGCCCCTGAATTGACTTCGATCTTTGGGTCATAATGAACGCTAGAATTATAGTTGATAGTTTCTCGAAGCAGCAGCTGTTATGGTAGCAGACGCGACGAGGCTAACAGGACTCTTACCAGAAATTTACTGTGCTGAGCTGGCTCTGATTTTCATAATATTGAGACTCACGAAAATGTTTTCCAGAACTTTCTTGAAAATCATAAATCAGAAAACTATTATGCTGTTTGTTTACGTGAGGAGCATTTGAGTTTCTGCATTCTGGCATATGTAAATGTGTGTATGAATATTATAACACTCCCGCATACATATGCAAGTATGCAAAACTCTAATGATGAGCGAAGGTGCCTTGTACTTGCAATTGAATTTCCATCTTATGGTTCAGATCACATATCTGACTATCTGATCTGTTTGCGTCTACCCTTGGGCGATATGCGATTGACGTGTGCGCAGCGTCAGATGCCTCTTATAGTATCGGGTAAAGACACATTTTTTTTCCTAGCATAGTGCTCAAATTGAATACATTCGCCATTCTTTCTAATGCTATAACTAGCCAAAAATATGGCTAGTCAACTGTCACAACTAATTTTATGAGAGCGCCATGTACATATATGTAGATACCACCCCTAAGCGATGCCGTTATTGACGTTTGTCCCATAGAAACCAGCGTCTATTACATATTTCATTTTTTCCATGTGGCGCTAACCAAACATGTTCACTGATTGAGAGTTCTTAAACATTTTATAGTAGGCAATAGATTTAAAGCAATATCTCAAATAGTAAATTGCAAATTTCAAATAATTTAGTGTCTCGACGTACTACTTGCCTGAGAATGACAATAGCAGCAATCAAGCATATAGTGTCGGAGCGTTAAGTTATGGCTTGAGGNACCTGGCGCATTTTCCGTCGAGATCTTAAATTATAAGCGTACAAAATAAAACTTGTGTAAGAATTTCAGTCACCCGACATTCTCAAGCGACATCGCTTTGCTCTTTGGACAATCTTTCAACGAGATCCGATGTTTTCGAGCCTAATTTGGGTACGACAACAAGAAAATTACCGCAATTCAGACGAAGAGCTATCTGAAGAGACTCAAAAGTTGCCATTTATTCAGAAAATAAATCAACAGTTTGGTTTAGTTTGTGGGCCGGTCGCTTCATGATAACCGACAATTTGATGCATAAAATTAAAGATGGTATTCTCAGTGACGTGTGATTTCAACAATACGGCTTCACTTAACACACATCGCATCAATAAATAGGTTTATTGAAAGAACACTTCGGTGAACAGATAATTTGACTTTTTTGGCCGGTCGATTGGTCACCAAGGTCTTGTGATATCACACCGTTAGATTTTTTGCTGAGGAGATATGCAAAGATATGTGGACAAGCTCGAATGAGCCATTGTAAATTGGATTCAACCAATGGACCATCTTAGACGTATGCGCGGCCAAAATTTGGAAAAGATAATTTTCCGAAAAATAAGTGCCATATAATTTAAAAGGGAGCCTCGGAATAGATCACCCTTCATACATACATAAATATGTATGTGTCTAAGTATTTACAATATGTTCGCGGAATTTTTTAAATCATATTATTCAGCATTCCTTCTGTATGTTCATCAACAATAATTAATTCACAACTTTTTCTGAGGAAGATGTATTCCTTCAGGTATGGTTCAGAAGCTATCACATGCTTTCTGAAAAGTTGTGCAAAAAATCTGTATTTGCCTTTAACTCAACTTTTTAATTTCTCTCTCAAACAATATGTGTTTCCTACAATATTTAATACAGTCTTTTATAGTCCCCTTACATTAAAAATATCCGCTACACCTAAGCTTTTTGAATCAATCATTACTAGTCAGATAACGCTTTCGATCTCCTCACTACTATCCAATTCTCAACACGGGGTTTTTAAAGGAAAATAAACACTTAAAAAATTTGCTTGAATTTGTGTCATCATGACATTATCTACATCGACTTCAGTAAAGCATTCGATAGGGTTAATCACTGCGTTTCTGCTGCAAGCAACGGCGAAGACTTTTGTATGTATTGTATATCCCTCCCCCAGTATGTAAGGGTACGGCTAAGAGATATGCAAAAAGTCTAGTTCGGCTACATAATTTGTACAGAACTTATCAACCTAGCTCCACGCTTTCTTTTCTTCAAATAAAGCATTAAATTCAAAATTAATATCAGGTGGGTTGACTGTTTGTTAATGCGATTGGGGTTTTGGGTTCACTACATATATTGGTCTCATTTTCTCTGCAGTTAAGCAGGCTGGAGAAGTATATATAGATTGATAGTCAGACACCAGCTCCTCTTTCTCTCCATTTCTTATTTCAATACATTATTTAAAAATGTTACATTGTATACACAATACGATTAAAAACTCTGCCTAAAATTGTGCATTGTAGTGATGAAAACCAAAGTCACTTCGTTTACATTCACCAATTTTTATCAACTTTCCGCAGGAAGTAGTACACATACAACTACAAAAAAAAAGTCTGTGTGATTTTAAGCTCACACTCTGCGCATTCAACGAAATATGTTCATTCAGCACCTTACCAACCAAACCAATTTTACTCAGTATATGCGTTGAATAGGCCTATTTCTGTAAATGGAATTGGCTTTGTGGGCGCATGAATATGATATTAACACCAACGCTCCGTGCGGCTCAAATAACCCTGTCAATCCAAATGTTTTGATCGTAAAAAAAAACACTGACTGCTCAAACATTGAGCATAGAATCATAGTTCTACAAAGTACTCAATCAATTAGCAGTCGTAGAAAGAAAGAAGAAAGTCGTAGAAAGGACACCATTAACTACACAAAAAGTGAATATGTATGTGTACATATGCATGTATATACACTCAGTCCTTTTTTTACGCGATCTCTTTTTACGCGATTTCACTTTAACGCGGTTATTTTTGCAGCGCAAATTCCTTTTTTTACGTGAATTTCTCACTTTAACGCGATTCCGCGTACTAATTTTCGAATGTAATAAGGGGAAGTCCCAACAAAAAAATTTTACTCTATGTGTATGAATTATTGCAAATCTAGTTGTTATATATTTATTGTAGTTAGCGGCCGGTGCAGTTGTTTTGGTAAGACTTTAAAATATATCTATAATTTTGTAATAAAAATAATAAAAATTTTTAATAAGGAATTTAAATTTTTGTAGTTTTACAATGGAAGCTAATTTAGAAAAAAATAAAAAACGCAAATTCATTTCTTTAGAAACAAAAATAAAAGTTTTGGACTATCTAGAGCAGGGAGCTGGCCCAACAAATGTGGGAAAGAGGCTTGGGCAATCCGTAAACTCTCAAAACAATATTATTTACTTGCCCGACAAAAATTTAGATCCTCGATTGGCTAGCTGTAGGCAGCACCCGCAACAAACAATGGCTTGGGCCGCTGTAACCACAGGTAAATTCCCAATATTATCCAAAAAGTATTTTGGAGGCTGCTTTGAAGCCAGAAGCAGACAAATATTTGGGTGGCAGACTAGGGACGATTCAACAGGACTCACAACATTCCGAGCTTCACGTCCACACAAGGGATTTCGAATTCACCAGACTCTAGTTCGATGAATAATTCTACCAGTTTCGAGGCGCTGAAGAAAGACATTTTCCACGAGTGGGCAGACAGCTTGCAATTCGTTTTTGGACCGTCTCAAGGCCATAGTTAGGGCAAAAGATGTTTATATCGAAAAAATAAAAGAATTTAACAATTTTATATTATTTTCACACATTTTGAATGTTAGAAAGATTAAAAGTAAATTTCCAAACGGAATTTAAGGCCTTTTAAGTAAGTTAGGTTTGGTGTGAAGGAGCTTGTAATATTATATAAAAAAAAAATTGATTGTAGCGAATGCAATTTGAAGAAATGAAAACGAATGCTATCAAGCAGTAAAATGCAGATTTTTTGAAGTTAGAAAAAAGAAAAGTTCCGATTTGACTCCAATCGTTGGTATTTAAGTGGGGGACATAGGAGTTCGTTTCGTAACGCAGGTCAAGACAATAAACTTCATTAAGTTCACCTAACAAACAAGCAAATGGTCTGTTACCATAGAATCTTACCGTTGGGAGAATGGCAATAGATGAGTTGGTTAAATACGAATGAGTAGTTCAGAATAACTGATAAATATTAAACTTGCATTTATTGCCACATTCTGAAATTTATATTTTGTAGAAAAGACTGAAAATTTACACCGTTGGAACAAGCTCAGCTCATCTGGTAACTCTAACAGAACACGTCTTTGGCTTCATCATCAGTAGCGACCGCTCGTGGCGACAGAAAAAATTGTAAGGGAATTGATTTTAGGTTAAAACGTGTAGGTAAGCCGTTTTATTCATTTTTGCAGGGTGGCGCATGGATGTAAATAAAAGTTTTTTGCAGTTTTGAAATTGAGGTTGTAAGATATTTCGAGCTTCCTCACTCGGCTCATCTTTCGAATACAGAAGTAAGAAAAAATATTTCAGCCAAGCAAGGAAACAATGATGATTTGGTGTTAAGACATACTTGCATTTAAATACCTCTCAAAGGGGTTGAGCGAGTGGGCTGCTTACCGCATAACTTTTTCATCTCTTTTTTTCAAGTAAATGAATAATTTCTAAGCCCACCGAGGCTGTTAGTTGAGGTTGTTAAGAAGTTATTGAAATAAACCATCTCAACTGTTTTGTTACCACCTGTTTGTTATGTTTATCGCCATCTGTATTCAGCTTCGATTTTGGCTGTCAATTAAAATTAAGTGAAGAACGAACTGAAGATACCAGTCAAATGCACGTGCACTTTCATTTGTATGATTGCGTGTCTGCATGTTCAGGGAGAAGATAAATCTTAGCTCCGCTTACTATGTTGTCATAACAAATCCTTTGTAATATTATGGGAAAGGAAACGATTACGAAGTAAAGGTACATATTAACATAAAGGATGATCATCCGTTCATTAATATAAGAAATTTTAAGAATCCCTTAAGCATAAACCTACACATAATAGACGTTTTACCCAGAAAGGGTTTAATTCTCTAATTTGACCATTTTGAGCACGTCAAGATAATCTAAACCGCTGCTTAAATGAGTTACTATTCTAGTCAAAGTATTTGCCAACCACATACATGTATATAAAATGGTGCAAATTTTTGTTGTTACTTTGTAACAAAGTTTCTCAATTGGCTGGGGTTAGCTCAGCATCGCCAAGGTTTGCAAAAGGTAACAGCGCGCTATTTTCAGTGGTCACAACAAATTTTATAAAATAAATAAATGTATGTATGTATGTAATATTCAACTTCTTATGTTGACAGTGGAGATGGAGTTCGTCAACTAGCTTTATCTTCAGTGTAGGTAAAAACTCTCGGGTGCGCTACGTTTGCCGGCGATGGTATCCCACTGACAAGAATACTTTACCATATGTTACAGGCTACATACTTAGCTGATTTCTAATTTTCGGCTGTGTGCAGAATGATTTTATTATCAAACAAAAATTGTTATAAAATAATTTCACTTAGACAAGTAAATTAATTTTGAATTATATTTATACAATTAAATCAGATGGATGCTGTGAGAACTCCAAATTTCAGCTAATTCAACCAAAATTATGCACCACATTCGGGTTATCATTGAGATATTTCATAAAAAGTTTGCCCGGTTGATTTGCCACTTTACACTTTTGCACTTTGAACGGCTTCACGAAATTCATCCAAATTTATACAATATGTTTGGGATATCATGCAAATGGTATATGTTAAGTTTGTACGCATTTCAAAAAGAAGGCGTGACAACATTTGGATGGAAGTTTTAGTTTAAGACTGGAGAATGACTTGGCAGAATTCAACTGAATTCACACTGATGTTTTTTTAGGTTTTTATTATGCCGAGTATACAAAAGAGTCTGTTGCATATTTCACTTTCATATACATATTTATATACATAATATACAAATGCTCTCTACGCGAGTTTCTGACTAAATTCCTCGTAAATGGCTTAAACGATATGAATAAAATTTTGTGTATGCCTTCAAGACAACTCAAGAACAGTTATATTTATAATTTAACGGAGTTGCCACCCGTTTTGGATGCTTTAGTATACCTTAAGTGAGAGTGTTTTCAGTCATAGACTAAGCGAAATGGTTGAACTGAGCTTGATAAAAAAGGATCGTTTGTTTTGAAATGTCCTCCAAAATGATTTAGGCTAGCGGTGACAAAATAAATGAAATGAAGGCTTAATGAAAGTACAGGTTTGCGCACCTTGCCATTCACGGGAAGAACCTCTCCGACCCGTTCTATACCAAACTAGGTTTCAAACAAGGTGACTCTTTATCGTGTGATTTTTTTAACTTATTGCAGGAGAAAATAATAAGAGCTGTAGAGCTGAATAGAGAGTATAAAATCTTTTATAAGCGTGCAAAGCTGCTGGCGTAGGCAGATGATATCGTGAGAACTGCTTTCTCCAGACTTGATAACGAAGAGAAGAGTGGGTCTGGTAGTGAATGAAGGCACGACGAAATATCTCCTGCCAGCAAACAAACAGTTATTGCATTCGCAACTAAACTCCCACGTCATTGTTGACAGTCATAACTTCGAGGTTTGTAGATAATTTCGACTATCCAGAAACCAGAATAAACTGTTAGCCTTGAGATCCAACACAGAGCCACTCTTGCCGACAGCTGTTTTGGACTGAGAAGGCAATTGAAAAGTAAAGTCCTTTACCGGCAAACAAAAACCGTGGACGATGTCCGCAACTAATTTGTCGGGTTTGGGAGTCTTCAAGAGAAAAGTTTTGGAAACTATTTACGGTCTTTTGAGCATTGCGATCACATTGACATAGTTCAGCAAATGAAGAGACAGCGACTACGCTGGCTAGGTCATGTCCTCCGAATGTATGAAAACACTTCAGCTGAAGGATCACTTAGAGACTGACATGGCTGTACTTAGTATTGCCAACTGGCGCCAAACAAAGAAGAGATGATAGGAAAGCTAATATTGATTCAGAAATAATCCGAAGCTTTTTTCTTTCCATGTGGCTATCTCGGTTAAATCGGGCGCCTGTTATTATTTGTGCAAGTAGTTAGGTTAAAAGAAAAAATATTACGATAATCAAAGTTCTTTATATGATTTTAGAAAAACACATGTCTAGGACATATATCATTGACATATCAAATGATTGTAATGGATGATATGATTGACCACTCAAAATAAAATAAAATTAAATACGTACATAAAGTGCTCTATTGATGAGTTCGCATGTGAATCTATGTACACCTACAAGTATGTATATCCATTAGTAATGTATTTGTTCACTTCATCCACGAAACGAAAAGTTAATGTCAAAACAAGTTATTTGTCGTTGCCACTTTATTCACTTTTTAATAAAAGAAATGCCATAAGCGCATACTTCAGTCCCAAGCTGTTCTACTTGGATCTTTTACACTGCCCTCAAAGTGTATGTAATTGCATATGTATATATTATAAATTACGGAGCATAAGGCAGCCTTAAATAAATTTGAAAGTTTTGTTTCGAAAGTGCTACTTTAACTGTCACGCGTTATGATCCTTAAGCATCAATATTTTAATGGCACGAAGCTCGAAAGATACTTTAGATATACATTCATACACCTTTTATACTGTTATTGTTGTGATCTGATGAAAATAGCTTTCATTGCGGAATGAAGAGTATGTACATACAATAGTTTGTTTTTGTTATGAAATATAAAATACTTTAATGTTACATTGATTTATACAAATAATGGACATACATATAATATATACATATAGCATAATTCTTTATTAATAATATGTTTATCGATGAATTCAAAAGGATTGCCGATATTTATTTATGCGGACTAGCAAGGCCTCAGAAATAGTATATATATTTCTATTTTATATATAGAATTGGCGCTTTGTAACCGCTGAAGCGATTTTTGGCCGAGCTCTTGCTCCAGTTTGTGGTCTTTGCGTCTGCATGTTTTGCCAAGCTGCAGGACAAGAATTTATTTAACAACTCGTACCCAAACCAATGAAAAACAGCCAAACTTGTGGTCGTTCCTAAAAAAGTTGAAGATAAAAAAGTTTAAACAATGTTCGACTAATAAATATGTTACCCAATATAAGCAAAATATTTGAGATAGTAATTAATATAAATATGAATAAATTTTTAGAAGAAACGAAAATAATAAGCTATAACCGATTCGGCTATAAAAATAAAAAACTCCACTTTCCACGCAAATAATCTGCTGGTCGCAGGCATAAATTGGAGCTAGAACAAAAAACTAGTTACTGGAGCATGTTTTATCGATTTAGAAAAAGCCTTTGATGAAGTTTGGATTAAAGGATTAATTGCAAAAATGTTAACTTACGATTTACAATTACACTTACTTGATCTCATAGTAAATATAATTCCAAATAAAAATTTTAGAGACAATATTGGAGACGATTCAGCAGCCGTGATTTTAATGTTATAAAGGGCCTCCAGCAGGGCCCACTTAATGCCCCAATATTATTTAATCTGTTTCTTACAGATCTATTAAATAATATAAATAGCATAATAGCCTTTGCTGATGACATGCATAGTTGTCTATCATCCGGATGATAACATAACAGTCATAAACACAAATTTTGCAGCAAAAATTCTATACAGTGCAAAAGTTCGCTAAGAAATGGCATCTTAAAGTAAATATAAATAAATGTGAAGCATTATTTTTAGGCATCCAATTTCTAAGTGCTCCTTTGATATTAGAAAAAAATGGAGACAGATTGGTATCAAAACAAGTGAAACAAAAGATTCAAATACTATAAATAACAAGGTTAAGTACCTTGAAATTACTTTAGACAAATTTTGATTCTTCAACAATCACATAAATATTAAACTTTCGAAAGCTAATCGCGCATTTTTTGAATACAAAAAAATGTTCTCTTCAAAAAAAGTTAGCAAAAGAATTAAAATTATTATGTACCAATCACTAATTCAACCAATAATAAGTGATGTGTACTCTATTTCATCTATACTATGTTAATCGCATTAGGAAATTTGAGCGAAGAATACTTAGAGCTTGTACTTCTCTATACAGAACATCAAGTAGCAACCGCTTAAAATTTATATCAAATAAAAGGCTATACACTTCGGCTCAAATAATGGGGATTGACATTATCACACTTTCTATTGTGATAACAGATATGATGAAACGTCAATAAACAATGTTTTTTTCACCCGAAATATTTGTATACCTGGATAGACACAAATTCATTCAAAATAGTGAAGGTGTGCCAATTATATATCATATGTATAGAAGAGCGAACGAAGAAATCATTTTTGATGAATTATCTGAATTAATTGTATTTTGCCATTAAATTGTGCAAACTTTTTGACCCAATTCTGCACATTTGCTCTAGTCTACATTTCACAATGGCCATTACTTACTTACATAAATATAACAAGATACCGTTTTGAACTTTTGTATAACCAAAAAAAAAAATACATTATAAGATCGATGATGCTTTGTAAAAAACAGATTAAACTCACATTTATTATTATTATATAAATAAATAAATAAAATTTAACAAGAACAAGCACTAGAATAAACACATGCCTTTGGGGAAAAATTCTAGATATTAATTTTATTCTATCTGGTTAATTTTCCATCTATTTCCCATCTAGCCACTGGTATTTTTA